GATTGTGCAGCTGAGGTGTTCTATCTAGCCCAATTTTGTGCAGAACAGGGAAAATTATCTGTCTTTCCAACAGAAATGAAAGCCATAACTCCTAAAGAATTCCATTGCCCTGGCAACCTTTCCTCCTTTCCCCCTTTTGCTTCTTTGCTCTTCCCTGCAAAACCACGTAATTTGCTGCAAGGTCTGAGTCTCTCAAGTGATTCATTGGCACATGTACTGCAAGCTCTTGCCATTGTCTAGGTGCATAATTCTCTTTCTGTTGGTTATTTGTATCAATGCTTAGGAAATATAAACTTCCGCCTGAAATAGAAGAGGGGATAGAGAAAGAGGAGCATGAAAATAAGACTTGGAGAGATTTAGCAGCCTGACCCCTCCTGCCCCTTCCCCAGTACTAAAGCTCATGGATCATGAATATTGCCAAGTGAGTAAGCAGACATTTTCTTTCAGGTTGTAAGTGGTTCCCAAGACCTGCATATGAGTATATGTTTACTCTGCTTATCAACATGGAGGAGAAAAACAGTTTTCTGTAGTTCTGCTTAGCACACGAGTTCTGAGTCAACAGCATATAAAGGTATTTGTACCATATCCTTTAATATTTCCACACTCTGAGAAGCTGCAATAGATAAATGAATACCCCTCTGGATTTATTTGCTTTTTCAGATGCATGCAAGCCAGGGAGGAAGAGGGACAGAGAGGCAGGTAGGGGAAAAAAGGTGCATTTTTTTAAAAATCAAATTTTATAAACATACACGGTTTACATAAAACGGTATATTCATTAAAATAGCAATTTCAAAAGACTTTAAAAACTGTAGACATAATAAAAATATCAAAATATAGAGAAAACCAGCATTTTCTAAAGGAAACACAACAAAATTATATGCCTGTTTAGGCTTGCCTAAACAAAAAGTTTATAGCACTTGCTGAAAACAGTACAATGAAGACACTTGCATAATAGTAATGGTCAGGAAATTCCCAACAGTCTATTTTTACCAGAGACAGTCTCTGTTGTTTTTTCTTACCTATCTCAGATAAACTGTTATTCTTATTTTGCCCATATTTCTGCCCTTTGGGAATGCCTTGTCCATTTTTTAAAAAAAATATTGTTTATGTGAGTTTCTGAAGAGTTGTCTTCCAGTAGGATTTAGCAGTGGCCTCCAGAGGTTAAGCATGAGATCTAAGTAACTGCGTTAGGAGGAAAGGTTGCAAAAATTGAGGCTTCTTAAGTTGAGGAAAATCAACTTAAGGGAGGGACATCATAGATGTGGTAGTAGATGCATTTGGGGGAAGGGCCATAACCCAACATCTGCTTGGCATGCAGAAGGTCTGAGGTTCCATCGCTGGGATCTCTAAGGAGCTTTGGGGAATCCTGGAGAGTCCCTACCAGGTAGAGAAAACTGAACCAGATTGACTGATGATCTGATTCAGTATAAGGCAGCTTCCTACATTCCTATAAATTTATGTATGGTGTCGATTTAGAGAGGGCCCTTTCCTCTCTGTCTCATAATGCTAGAACCTACACCCTCTGGAGTTGATTGACAGCAGAATCCAGGCTGACAAGAGGAAGTACCTCTTCCTGCAGCACATGGGTAAATTATAGAACCTGGCCCCACAAGATGTGCTGGTTTTGAGCCCCCAGATAGCTTGGGACCAGTAGCGGGAAAAGAAAAACCCACTCAGATGTGACCACCCGGATGTGTGCAGGGACCTCTGTGGGTTCACAGACACAAAATCGATCTGCGGCTCCCTCTGCTCTTTAAATTCTCTCTCCTCCCTGGGTGGTTCCATTGCAGCTGCAGTTTAAGAAACAAAATGTTGTGCTTCCCTCGGCATCTCCCTCCGCCCTTCTTAGACATTCCCCGTGAAGGTCGTTTCCTCCAAGAGACAAGAGGCAAAGATGACATGAGCGCTCGAGTGCAGCCATTGTTTTTCCATGCACAAAAAGCTCTAGCAAACAGATTAAAATTTAACGTGGGGAAAGGTCTATTAATCTATTATTAATTAATATTCCATATGTTGCCCGGAAGGCAAATGAGGGTCTTTTGAAGCCATCTGGTTTTCCGATTGGATTGAAGTGTCTTCTGGAAGCCCGCAGAATGGAGATGCAATGGATGCATCTGCCACATGCCAAGTTGCAAGGAAATGCCGGCGATGAGATAGTGATATCAGATGGGGAAGATGGCTGCACACTTTGCAACATGGGAAGAACCTGTCATGTCCTTCATCAAACTAGGGATCTGCATTTCTTTTCCAGAGAGGGGGAAAAATGAGGTGTTGTGGGTTCATTGTTGTTTTGTGGAGGAAGGGGGAAAGTGTACACTGTCATCGTCAAATAGCTGGTTTAAGGGAGAACAGTTAGTGCTACAATGATAGACAAGACATGCTACTGGCTACCTATCAGCTTCTGGGTGCAATTTATGCCACTGATTTACACCAAAAGGTCTCTGTAAGCCCCACCACCAGGAGTCCTTAAGCACATGGCTGATCCTCTGTCAGGATGTTATCAGCCGCTCCTGGCTGGTTGCCCAGGAAATTATAAAGACAAGGAAAAGTTTCTTACCATCCTTTTTTATTTCAGTCTTTACAGAGAAGAGGCTATAGAACCCAGCCTCTTGGATAATGCCGTTGACCCGAGTGAATCTTCACCCCATCTCTCTGACTTCCTCATTCATCACCTCTATGGGTGATGCTTCGTGCCCTCTGTCTTTGAGTTCTTTGCTCTCCTACTTCTAAGGCTCGCTGGGTTCTGGGAGATGGAGGGTCTGGAATGCTTTCTAATGACAACATGTCAGCCTGGTGTTGTTCTGGCTCTCCCATGATTTCCCAACTTTCCCCTCCTCTGCCTCTGAGCTGTGACTGAGCTGAGCAAACCACTGTTGTAAATCTATACTGTCTTCCTCTTCCGCCTCCCTGGGAGAGTCAGGATGGGGAGGCGGTCCTCCACCATTACTCCTCTGCCCAGTCCCTGACATTTACGTGGGGAGTGTGTTTGCCCAGTCCCCTCATTTGCTTGGAAGAAGGTTCTCAGGCTCCCTCTTTGTGTGGGGAGGATGGAGGTGAGAGGGATCACATCATTGTGGTGGCCAGTCTGCTGGTGGCCAGCTGTTCTCCTTTAGAGGTTAAGTGCCACCTTTTTCCTCTGCATTCTGAGCCTTTGCACTCATCCTCTGAACAGGGCTAGGGTGAAGGATGGTATACAAAATTAATAAATAAATAATTTTGGGAGGTACTGGATGTGTTTTTTCTTCACCTGCTCTCGACTCTTCTGATCTGGGGCGCACATAGATAATTTTCTTTCCAATTGGCTGTCTTTATGTCACAACTTGGCATATTCTCCAAAACTGCACAGATGAAAATGGGGACAACATAACACCCCAATTCTTATATCAGGGATCACTACTTGAAATCTGATGCCCAGGGTTGCTGAAAGCACTTCTCTACCATTTGGGTTCATTTCCTCCACTATTGTCTATCTCCCACTGATTTAACACCCAGGAGTGTGCTGGGGAATGCTCAGTGGTAGAGGATCTGCTCTGCATGCTGAAGGTTCCAGGTTCAGGAATGTCAATCACAGATCTGATTCCACTTCTCCCAACATTTAACCTGCACTTTGCAATTTTTACTATTTTTACTATTTTGTGAGTGGGATTCAACTGCATCCTGACAAATTCTGCCTGCACAATTTAAGCTTGCTCTTGTGCAACAAAACTAGCTTCTCCACCATTCCCCAAGTGATGGGGAAATGCACTTGAAAGTCTGCAATACAATGCCTGATGCAATGTTGTATCACCTTCCCATAAACAATCAGGATGAATGTTCAATAAACAATGGACATTATATCACCTCCTTGTCATCTGAAAGTAAGATTCCAATGGTGTGAAAAATGCTCCTGTGAAGCTACAATCTAGTCTTTCTCTCTATAGATACCGTATTTTTCGCACCATAGGACGCACCAGACAATAGGACGCACTTTGTTTTAGAGGGGGGAGAACAAGAAAAAAAAAAATCTCCCCCTCTCTGCCCAGCGCCCTTTCAGTGAAGTGGCAGGAGGCGCTGCGCAGAGAGGGGGAGAACTTTCCCCCTCTTGTTTTCCCGCTCTAAAACAAGGTGCCGTTTAAGGTGCGTTCAGGCGGCTACCTTGGAAGCCTGGAGAGCGAGAGGGGTCGGTGTGCACTGACCCATCTCGCTCTCCAGGCTTCAGGTTCCTTTCGACCTGCTCTTTGGGGCTGGCGGGGGGAAGCGCACCACCAACCCCAAAGAGCAGGTCAGGGAGCAGCGGAAAGGCGCAGCGGAGAGGCTCCTGCCATAGCCGCGCGTCACCTCTCCAGCCGGGAGAGGGTCGCGGGGCTATGGCGTCTTCGCTCCATAGGACGCACACACATTTCCCCTTCATTTTTGAAGGGGAAAAAGTGCGTCCTATAGAGCGAAAAATACGGTATACAGAATGTATGGACTGGAACTAGAGGGTGTAAAACAAGAGTAGAGCCCGTAAAACAAGACTGCCATTTCTTCCCCCTTGGACCAAGTAATAGGTAACATATAACTTAATGTCATTGTACTCTGAGTTGCCCCATCCTGCTCATCTTCATTGGCTGTCATATGCAGGGCTGTGGAAACTCAGAAAGTGATGGCATTGCAACACACATTTCTATTGCTACATTGTGTTACGAGAACAATATATAAGGCTGCTGTTTTAGGCAGCAGCCATATTTTCTCCATAATATAGGAACATATAGTCAGGTCATAGATCCATCCAGCTTACTATTGTCTACAGCAAATTGTGTGTTGCGACACGTTAGTATGACGGCTGCAGTGTGTAGGTGTGTCGCACAAGCGCTCTTATAAAAGGTTAGTTTAACCTCAGATTTGCTTGGTGAAACTGAATTACTGTGTCATGAAATGAAGCATGTCTAAAAAGTGTGTCACCAACATGAAAAGTTGGGAAAGCTCTGGTCTACCTTGACAGGCAATGACTCTCCAGGTTGACAGACAGGAGACTGTCCCAACACCACCAGGATCTGCCGAGGATTGAAGCTGGGACCTTTTGGATGAAGAGCAGGTGCTCTACCACTGAGCTATGACCTTTCCCAAATAACACATAATTCTGACCTGGCTAACCAGACTAAAATGATTAGAATGGTCAGAAGAAACCAAGACCATTTGGCATAAGCAGAAGGTGATCAGATCTGAAGATCTACTGTATTAGGAAGGGAACAGCTGACAATTGTTCTGTCCATTTTTAGTGAGTGTCTTAGGGTACTTTGACTTGGTGGGCAACTGCTGCTGCTTGAGAAAGCCCAAGATGAGTTGCCTAATGTATCTGAAATGTGAAAAAGAGCTGTACTTGCAAGAAGATGGAACAGCACTGCCTCACTGAATTATGAACTGCCACCATTATTCAGCAAGTCTGTGGAGCCTGTTTTTAGGATTCTCGCCTTAGTGGTTCATCCAAGAAAGTAGCTCACGGGGTCACAAAATTGCTGATGTGGTTCCAGGAGTGATCCTAATATTTAAAGTACTGGCAAAAATGTTTTTTTAAAAAAAATTGAAACAAAACAGGAACATAGGGAGGAAAGCACTATTTCTGCTGTCAGAGAGTCTTATGAATATGCAAATTGGAACAGAGACAACTGCATTCCATTAAATGCAGATCACCAAGCAGAAAGTCCAACCTTTTTTTGAAAAAGAAAGAAAAGAAATACACTTAGCCAGATTTTATTGTAATGCACCACATTTATTGAATATTCAGATTGACAGATAATACTTTAAATCATCATTATTTTGGGATTCTTTATTGAATGCAATAGAAGAAAGGCCAATGGTAATAAATATGTTTGTGGGGAAACGACCTAGCTTGTGTAGCTGCACATAGCTGTAACTGGGGCACATTTACACAATAAATTCACAGATTTATTGCTTCTGTTTGCTGGCAGTGGCCAGCTTGCGTGCGTTATTTCTTTGTATACAAATAAAATTGATGGGAACTGTACAACAGCCTAGTAGAAACCTGGCTGTTTTAGTGAGCAGCACTCCCTCCCTTAGTTCACAAGTGGAAACAGAACTAAAATGAATTTATTAAGCTGAATAAAAAACATTTTAGCATAAATTCCCAGCCAGCAGTGTGTTTTTGGGTAAGGTGGTCTCATTTTCCATTCTGCCCCATATTCATCACGTGCAGTTCTGTTTCCATTCCACTGCAGGCCACCTTCCATCAAAAACTACATTATTCAGTTCACTGCAGGCATGCCAGGTTCTGCCCAACATTGTGGGTGTCCGATGTGACATGCCTGATGTCACGCATGTGGTGGAAAGAAGCCCAATGGGGCCACTGCACTCTCAGAAAGGCCCGACGAGGTCTGCCCAGGCTCAATCGGGCCCTCTCACTGATTCGCAGCAGGCCCCATTGGCCTTTCTGAGGGCACAATGGGCCCTGTTTGGCCGTCTTCCACTGTGTGGGCCTGGGAATATCGAGGGGGCCTGCCCCCTCCTGAATTTTTTTGGGGGGGCTCAGCCCCCAAAGCCCTACAGAGATGGCTCCCAAGCTTGCAAATGGGATTTGACTGGTGGGTTGCCCCATCCCCCTGTCGATGTCGACCCACAGAGTAGAGCCAGATCTTTATCCACCCCACTGTAAACAATATTGGGTTATAAATATCAATAGTCTGACTCAGTCTATGGCAGCTTTCTATGTTCCTATATGGTGCTACAGAGACCTTTGACATTATATTGATTCTGCTCTGCCCATAGACAGAAACAGGATGGAGAGGAGGCTAAGGTTGTATCTTTTGCCCTCTAGTGTCCACCTAAGTCTCTCGAGATTTGCAGCCAGTAAGATTTTCTAATGATCTGAAGCAGACTCTAGCAGCCTGAAGGCCGGCTACATAATAATCAAAAATGTAAGAACATTATTCCTTCATATTCTCCTTCTCGTTGTGTCATTATGTTGTTAATCTGTTTCATGTCATTCATTCCAGAGAAAGTAACACTTGTCAGGGTTGAATTAATGACATCCAGTATCTATAATTTACATAAATATGGTTATGTATAGATCAATTGCCATTATACCTCTGCAGTATTTGCATTCTGTGGGAGAGCATAATAGCTGGGAGATGTGTGTATGTTTAAAGTGGTAATCTCTGTGGCTTTTTGTTGTGTACAAGGCAATAAATGGCTGTTGCAATTGACTAAATGCCATTGCGCAGCAGTTCATTGTAATTATGCTACAAAGGAGTGAATATGGTTGTTATTATGCCATAAGCCATCAAGCGGGGCAGGGGGAAAGTCTATCTTTGCTTTGTGCTGGGAGGACTTGGCAAAGTTGTTTCTCCTTTGTCTGGTATTTTTGAAAGAGGAAGAATGAAGAAGCAATTTAAAACCAACTCGGTAACAAAGAAGAGATGGACATTCTCCCATTCTTTGACAGATCTAGTTCAGTTCCTATTAAATTTAACAAGCTTAAAGCCTAAATGCCAACACATGGGGATTGGGAGGTGGAGATTTTAAAGAAGGAGTACTAAAATATACACACATCCATATATATATATATATATATATATATATATATATATATATTAGAGAGACACCAGTTCAACATAGGCACAGTCTACCTTTGAAAATGACCTTCCTCCAGTTAAGGGTTGCACTCAGCCTTTGCTTTTCCATCTACTCCCCACTTCCCCAAACACCAAAAAAAACCTTATTTAATTATTTTGTGGAGGGAAAGGTAGATAGCAGGAGACAGAGGGCTTCATCATCAGAGGAGAGGACCTGCAGGATATTCTCCTTAGTGCTAATTCATGGGCAAAGTGTCTTTTCCCACTACTGTATTATGGGGCTTGATGGCAATCCCATGTTTCTGGCACAAAATGATGTTCCGTAAGCCCCATGCTCTGAATGTCTTTGGCTGTGGACAGCGGCGGAGGAAGCCCCAGGGATGGGGCAAACCACCCATAGGGGCAGGGCATACTGCGGGGCCTCTGGAGTCTGCCTGCCTCCTCCCACTCAGCTGCCCTACAGCTGGGGGGAAGCACCGGACGGACCGTTTGGGCAGCACGGAGCCTGCACGCGCCCAAGCCACCACGGCTCTCACAGGAGAGGTGCTTGGCTCAGGCACACTGCAGGCCCCTCAGTGAGTGCCGCCCGACATTTTGTCACCCCCTTCAGTGGTGACACCTGGGGCGACCCACACCCACCGCACCCCCTTCCTCTGCCCCTGGCTATGGAGGTAACACCACCATCTTGTTTTAGTGGGAGCTTGAGGCCCACAGGGAAGGTAAGGGGTATTCCAGTGAAGGCAGGTTATAGCAGACAAGGACAGATGTAGCAGGTAAGGTCCAGTCAAAGTAAGAAAAGTCAGGTCATAGCAGAGAAGGGCAGATCAAGGCAGGAAGAATCTGGCCAGAAGCTCTCTTGTACGAGGGGTAGGAAAAAAGCAGGACCTTGGAAAGCTTCACATGATCCCTATTGGCTGATGCTCTGTTCAACATGAATTTCTTTTGAGTATATATGGTTAGGATTGCACTGTTAAGTATTCAAAAATTCACACCAAAAAATGACATTTCTTTTTTTAAAAAGTTTCAAAATTTCCTCATGAACTGTTGGAGAATGTTAGTCTTCCCCTGAAGAATATTCATTGCCACACATACCTACCCACATTTTATCACTCATAATTAGCGTGGACAGTTTTTAGGAGGGGGTATTTTCACTCAATCCTAACCACCTAAAAATGATTATGCATTTAAATATTGTTTTAAAATGTATTTTCTCTCAAAACTTGCATTCCTCAATGTATTTTCCTTTCTTTTTCCTTCTTTTTTAAAAAAATATATAAAACTGAGTTAAGGAAACATACTGTACAGGGAGTTCAGAATAAAAAGGGAAAGACAGCAGCAACAAATACATCAGACAGACATATTAGAGAGCAGGCAATACATCAAGTTCGTAATAAAGAACAGGAAACATTAATTTTTATTATATTTCCCTTCAAATATACAGTTCTGAATGTATCTTGATACCTTTTTCTTTGAGATGAGGACTGCTTCAAAACATACAAGAACTATGGAAACTTGTGAATCATTAAGGATGCAACCCAAAACACGTCTAGTCCAACGTAAGTCCCACTGGATTCAATGGTGGGGCTGGGATCGCAACCGCTTTTATGATGTATGCATTAGCCTGTCTCGAGCCATTATGCTGCCTTAGCTGAAGGACAAAATGGTGCCCTTCCCAATCCTATGTGAAGAAGTCAACTGAACTAGCGGTTAATGCGTCCTTCAGCACTGGCAATGGGATTGTGTCTTCCACTAGGCTAGTTTACTGGGCACAGGCCAGACCATGCAGTACATGCAGCAAACTCTTTATTTGTTGTGTGTTCCTCAGTTTACCTGGGTGTCCTGTCTACTTAACACAGCAAGTGATTGGGTATTAATCTGACCTGCCTCTCCGGCAGCCCCAACATACTTTTCTGGCATGTCAGAACGGGTGTTCCATGACCACAGCAGAATAAGTCACTAGGACAGGACAGGACCTTTATATGATGCCTAAGTATACCACGAGACATGGGTGGTGCTGTGGTCTAAACCACTGAGTCTAGGGCTTGCTGATTGGAAGGTCGGCAGTTCAAATCCGTGTGACGGGGTGAGCTCCTGTTGTTCAGTCCCACCCAGCTCCTGCCAACTTAGCAGTTTGCAAACATGTCAAAGTAGAGAATGGGAACTATTTACAACATATATGAAGAGGCAACATAAAGAAATGGACCCATTGGCAGGGTTTGAATAAACAATCACAACTGTATAAAATAAAAAAGAAGACTACATGTATTGGGAAAATTTGGGGAAAACAATACACAGGGTGAACAATATGGAAATAAAGCAAAACGGGAGTATGAGGGAAGTCCAGGGGAGGAGGGTGAAAATATGAAAAATTGTTAAAGATATATTGTTAGAAGAAGTATACATGGAAAAATCATTTTAAAAAAAATAAGATAAAACATTAAAGTGCAAGTAGATAAAAAGGTACCGCTCCGGCGGGAAGATAAATGGCGTTTCTGTGTGCTGCTCTGGTTTCGCCAGAAGCGGCTTAGTCAT